CCAGACAAATTTCCTGACATAGAGTGGTGAACTGCATCTAAGGCTACATTTGTTAATTGAAATGAGTCAATTGGTATCACATCGATTCCTGGGGCCTTATTTTTTGCTAATGCCTTCAATGCAGCTTCTACATCCTCCTTTATTTCCATTGGTTCCTGCTTATATGGTACTTCCTGAGATTTTTCAGTGTCAATCATCTCTTCCTGGTACAGTGATTCTGTGTATTTCCTCCATCTTCTATTGATGCTTTCTGGGCCATTCAATATATTGCTTATAGCATTTTTCAATATTGCAACACAAGCCTTGATTTGTTTTTCAGTTCTATCAGTGTAAGAAATGCAGAGCGAGTTTCCCCCCCTTTTTCCTGGGAAATCTACAGTTAGAGATCTCTCTCTCCAAATTATTGAGGGATAATGATGCCAGTTTGAGGACTAAGATGTATCTGATTCAAGCCATATTCTTTCTGATTACTTGATGTGCATCTGAGAGTTGGACAATAAATAAGGATGATAGAAAAATGATTGATGCCATTGAGCTGTGGTGTTGGAGAAGAGCACTGAACATCCCATGGACAGCCAAGAGAACAAACAGATATGTCTTTGAGAGAGTGCAGCCGGAATGATCTTTGGAGGCAAGAATGATCAAGTTTCACCTCACATACTTTGGGCATGTGGCTAGGAGAGGCTATTCCTTGGAGAAAGACATGATGGCTGGGAAGGTCGGCAAAGAAGAGGAAGATCCTTAACCAGGTAGACTGACACAGTGACTGATGCAATGAACTCTTGAGTGTCAGGAAGTATGAGGATGGTCCAGGATAGGGTTCAGAACTTTTGTTCATAGGGTTGCTATGAGTCATATGTGACTCAACAACACCTAACATCAACATAAGAGATTTAAGGGGAGAAGACAAACTTGAGACAGAGAGCAAGTAAGTTGCCTCTGTTACCATTTTACTTTGGTCTTTATTCACCCAATTGCACACTGGCCTCCCCCCTCCCCCTTTTCCTGCACTCAAAGAAAGTAGCAGAAGATACTAATCACCTCTGATAACTGGACAAGTGAGTCTCCTGGGCCCTGGATTTTCATACCTTGACTGTGGAATTTCCTTGTTCTTCCCTCTCTTCCTGCTATATCTCAGCTCTCCTACTTGCAGACATTGGTTTGATTCTGGGGTTAAAGCCTCTTTAGAGTGATTCAAATCCCTGCAAGCTGCTGTATGCCATTAAACCAGAGACCAGAAGACACAGACCTCCAGCCTGGGAATCCAAACTGGATTCTTGGGAAGTTCAGAATTGAAGTAGAGGGAGAATTGCCTTGCAGGAGACTCCCAGCTACTCAAGTGCCAACACGGACAATTTATCCTTTTAGGAATGGGGCAGGCACCTTCCACTTGTTGTATATTCACATAGCTGCTCCTTTGTTGTCCCTCTCTTCTCTAATAAATATATGTAAGTAGAAACATGTAGCATCAGAACAGAAGGAGATTGAAGAAGCAGCGGAATGCTTCCAGATGTGCATTATTGGGTGGAGAGAGCCAATGAGAATGCATGATTATGGAGGAATTTGGAATGAAGGAGCTCATGGAGTTTGAACCATGCTCTGGTTCTTAAATTTGGTAGGGCCCTTGAGCCACAGGCTATTGGGCCTGTTTGTCATTGTTTTTGATCAAACATTCTTCTAGGTCATATAGTCCTGCTCTGTCCACTTGCCGTACAGAGGTAACTCGTGGTCACTATGAAGCCAAACACCGTGACACTGATGTGTCAAAGGGGAGAATGTTTACCCATGGTAGATAGTGTTTCGTGGAGCTCCCTGATAAAACAAGCTTGGAAGCAGGAGTGGCATCCACTTCCGAAATGGCTTGCCTCTGGAAACTCTATGAACCTGGAGAAAGGACGAAAGTTATGCAAGTTTTCAGGTCTTTCTTTCATAGGGTCGCTATGAGTTGTCTACGACTCGATGGTACATAACAGCAATAACAACCCCTAAAATAGGTGGTTTTAGTCCAAGAGCTGCATAGAAGGAGAAAGATGAAATAAAGAGAATAACTTTATCTCCTATAAAGATATTCAGCCTCATAACCCTAGGGAAGGTCACTAAGAGAATTAACTGGATTGCACTATGCTTTAGTAGTATAACTCATCGATAATTTTATGTAATCCCAATGTTGTAAGATTCTATAATTTGACTTTAGGGTGCATTTTATTTACCTTGTCAAATATGCATGTAACCTGTGGGGTACATTTTATTTAACTTGTCAAATATGCATGTAACCTGACCCATTTCCCAAACTCAGTTACTAAATCAAGAGTCTCTGGAAATAGGTCTACAGGTGATTCTGATTCAAGGCAAAGTTTGTAATTGCTGCTTCTCAGTTTCCTCCAAACTCTATTTCTAAAAAAATTCTGCATTGTCAATGCATTTATTTAATTGGAGATTAATGGAAGTTTGGAGGAAACATTTCTTTAATTATTTTTTTAATTGTGATTTTAATGAAAGTTTACAGAAAAGTTCAATTTTCATCCATTCATTCATTCGCATTTTCCTTCTTGCCACCCCCAGCCCCCAAAATATTTCTTTTTAAAGGATGGCATTGACAAAGTGACAAGTTTGGAAGGACATCCACACAAATAAAACAAGGGACATGTGACAAATGAAAATATCTCCTACATCACTTTTTGCAGTATTATCCCCCAGTTGATACTAATTCCATGAGGTTGATTCTTACCACACCTGTGCTAATTTTGTAATTAGAAAACTAATTAGGCTATATTTTCTCTTAGCAAAGAGCCTTTGGGAAACAGTGGGTTACACAGTGGCTATTAACAGATTGGTGACTTGAACCACTGAAGACATGTAAGCCAGTCTGCTCCCAACAGAGCTTAGGGATTTAGAAATCATAATGGTTTCCTTCTCCTGATACCATCCAAAACATGTGAATTCAAGTTGCATCTCATTTCTAAGGAGAATTCTGGCTGTACCTCTTTTAAAACAGATTTGTTTTTCTGTCATAGTATAATAATATTCTGTATCTTTGCCAAAATGGTAATTCAAAGTTATCAGTTCTTTAGTCTTCCTCATTTATTGTTCTATTTTCCCATGCATGTGGGAGTCAGGTGCCTCTTAGTCCTCAAAGTGACATCTTTGCTTCTGAACACTTTAACGAGGTCTTTTGTAGATGTCTCCAGTGCAGCATGTTTGATTTCTTGGAGGCTCTTTCTCCATAGGTGAGGATTATGGATTCAAGTAAAAGAAAATCTTTGACAACTTCAATCTTTTCTCTATTTACCATGCTGTTTCTTTTTTATCCAGTTGTGTTAATGTCTGTTAAATGTAATTCCCAGAGCTTCATCAGCAAGTACTTCAAATTTTTGTTTGTAGCAAGGTTATTTTCACATCACCACTTGTTAATGAATCTTCTTCAAGTATTGATGCTGTGCTCATCATGCAGTCCAGTTTTATTTTTTGAATAAAATTTTTATTATATACTGGTTTACTTAAAAGCTAGCATACATTGTTTTTCATGCAGTACAGCTTCTTGGATTATTTGCTCAGGGTATAATTTGGTGGCCTAGTGGGAAGGAATTGTGCTGATAACCCAAAGGCAAGAGGTTTGAATTCACCAGCTATTTTGCTAGCGAAGGATAGGCAATTTCTTCCCTTGTGATTTATAGCCTCTGAAAACCCCTCCACAGCACTTTCCACCATTACCACAATAAGGGATGGAAAGGGGGTGGGGGTATGTGTGTATATATTGTTGTTGTGTCCGTCAATTAGGAACCCACCCATAGCTGACCCTCCAGCAGGTTTTCAGAGGCGGTTAATCACACGGGAGGAGATTGACCATCCTTTTCCTGAGAAATACTGCCTTTGAAAATCTGCTGAAAAGTCAGTTATGAGTAGGTTTTGACTGGATGGTATATAACAACAACATGTATATATGTGTAAACATATGTGTGTGTACACACACGATATGCTTTCAGATATTTGAAAAGCTAGAGAAGTACATTAATAACTATGTTAATAGTGGTAATTTTTTTTAAAGAAAAATAAAGCTTTGCCATAATCTGCCTACTTCAGCCACGCCAATTTCCTTCAATATCTGGTATTTTTATTACTTCAATTTCTTCTTAATAAAGTCTACAGAGTTATTTAAGTAAAAAGACACTAACACAAGAAAGTTGCCTTTTTGCCTCATGATTCCAGTCCATCCAGGTCAGCATTATAATTAAAGGGACAAGAATACAAACATCACTTCCAGCATCATCCCCTCCATGGTAACTTCTTCGTTTTGCCCCTCCTCCCAAACGAACTCCTAACTTCCGGTAAGAGCTTTCAGGGGCGGGACTCAGAAAATTTGGGCACCTCCATTGGCTCTTATCGTGCAGCCTCCTTCTAGCATTGGACTGATGAACCAATGCGGGCGCAAGGTTGTTGTTTAAACACCCAGCTTGGCGGGTGCTCTGGCCGTAGACTCTTGAGTGCGTTTGGCTTTGGACGATCTGGTGAGGCAGTGGAGGTAACTCGGTGAAGCTGAGGGAGCTGAGCCACTGGGCCTCTGAACGGGGTTCCGAGCTTTAATACGTAGGGTCACGGTGAGTCGTACTCGACTAGACGGCACCTAACAACAACAGCAGCAGCCCCTGGGGAAGGAGGCGGAGGGGGAATGGGGCTTTCCTGAGACGTGAATGTCGCCGAGCCGGCTTCAGCCGCTGCTTTGGACAGTATCAAAGACCCATAGTGGTTCTCTTCTAATAAGATGCCAGGATCTCGGACCGTTCTCTGAAAGTCAGGCTTTGTGTTCCCAAACCGTCCCCAGAAAGTTCCATTCTCTTAACTCAGGCTTGAAGAGTTGAGAGCTGTGTTAAGTACTTGCTTGCTCCAGTATCGACTTCTGTTCACAGGATAGGGCATTTTTGGCTGCTGTGAAATCTTAACCTTCTCTTCGTATTCGGTAACCTCCCCAGTCTAATTTGCGTTTATCTCCCTTAGCGTAATTCAGAATGGCTACTTTGATATATGTCGATAAGGAAAATGGAGAAGTTGGCACTCGTATGACTGCGAAGGATGGGCTGAAGCTGGGATCTGGATCTTGTAAGTGCAGGCAGCGATTGAAACCGCAGCTTTTAACAATTGTGGGTGTGGTTGGGAGTATATCGTGAACTCTCCCAGTCTCTGCAGTCCAGCGGCTTTCCACCCTCTTAATGCAAATTGCTTGTTAAGGGTTTTCTTTTATGTGCCCCCGCCCCCCCATTCAGTGTCTTAACGAGAGTCTTTAAGAATGTACGCGACTGTAGTGGTATTGAGCAAAAATGCGGACCTGCTTTTGGGGTGAGAATAAGAAGTTTATTCATCAGCCTTCAAAGTTGCCCAGTTGATTGAATCATTTAATTTTTCTCCAGCCATCAAAACCTTAGATGGGAAATCTCAGCTTTCAACACCTTATGCTGGTAAAATATTTGATGCACCACCTGCCCTACCTAAAACTTCCAGAAAGGCTTTGGGAACTGTTAACAGAGCTACTGAAAAGTCAGTTAAGACTAATGGACCCTTCAAACAAAAGCAGCCCGCCTTCCCTGCCAAGAAGGTGAGTGTTAACACTGTTTAAACCTCTTAGGTCTTTTGATCCTTGGTGTTGTGTACCGCACAGTCGGGACCCGACCTGCTCGGAGATGGCTAGTCCTGGAGAAGCTGGTGGCCTTCAGGATTGCAGTGCAGCTTCTTGCCAATACTTTTGCTTCACGTTTAACCTTGTTGAGTGAACTTTCTAACCCTATTTAGTAGAAGAAAATAAAGAATAGAAAATGCAAGTTAATATAGAAAAATAAATCATAGGATCCTATGGACCCTGAGATTGGAAATTGTAGAAACAAGTGTATATTTTTGCTGCATCTGTGAGTTATGGGTCTACCTGATGATGCCTAATAACAGTAAGCACCATAACTATTAACTAGTGTCTTAAACTTGTTGGCAGTGTCTATTTACAAATGAGTAAAATACTAAGGAGTGTGTGTGCCTTGTCAGAGGTTACATCGCTAATGTGACTAATAATGATCAGGTGTTGCTACATACCCTCCTTTTACAGCAAGCACTAGTTGCATTGCTAATGTGACCAGTACTGCTCAGGTGTTAGCATATATATACCTTTGTCTTCATGCAAGCACTAGCTTGTTAGGTGACAGTCTGTTAGGATGCTGACCTGAGTATGTGTGATTGTAAACTCACATAAGCCACCGGCCAGTGAGATGACTTTAGCTAATTTGTGGATTAACACTTTGTTTTAATAATTGTTTAATGTCTCAAAATACAACTGTTACTTTACATCACATCTGATTTATGATTTATATATAGTGTGGCTTAGGACAAAGCTGCATAATTATTACAAAAACTCCAATTCATTGCTGTGGAGTTGGAACAAACTCATAGCTGACTCTTCAGCAGGTTTTCAGAGGCTTTAAAAACTTCAGTATGTTTTTCTTTGTTTTTGGCTTCTTGACGCTCTAGTGCAGTATTTTAGTCTCTTCTGACGTTCCTTTTGGTTTTCTTTCTCTGCTGTCTTCATAATGACCTTTTGCTTTCTTCATGCATGATATCCTTGATAACATTCCACAACTCTTCCAGTCTTTAATCATTGGTGTTCAATGCCTCGAACCTATTTTTAAGGTGATCTTGAAATTCAGATGGCATAATTTCAAGGTCTTGTCTTGGTTCTTGTGGATTTATTTTAATTTTCTTTGGTTTCAATTTAAACTTTGTTGTTATGTCGCCTGTGACCCATAGTGACCCTGGCTCTGAAGCCTGCCCTGACCTGAGCCAGTTTCACTAATTCCGACATACCAACTGCCATTGCCCCAGTCACTGTATCAATCCTTCTCATCCAGGGTCTTCTTCTCCTGCGCTGTCACTCTACCCTTCTTAGCATGATGTCCTCCTCCAAGGACGGATCTCTCCTGGTCACGTGCCCAAAGTAAGTGAGATGGAGCTTCAAAATCCTAGCCTCCAAGGAGAAACTTAGTTTCACCCTCTCCAAGACAGATCTATTTGTTTTCTTGGCAGTCCATGGTTTAAGACTCCTCCAAGCACCACAGTTCGAAGACATCTATTCTTCTGTCATCCTTAATCATTGTGCAGCTCTGATGCATAGCAAGTAATTGTGAAGACCATGACCTGGATTAAGCACACCTTAGCCTCTAAACTGACATTGTTACTTTTCAGTATTCTGGAAAGGTCCCTGACAACATATATTCCTAATGCATTTCCTGACTGCTGGGGCCAAGAGTTGTTTGTGGAGCTGAGCAAGCTGTAATTGTTAACAACCTCAGTCTCTTCTCAATCTATCATGGTGCTTCCAATTGGCCCATTAGTGAGAATCTTTGTCTTCTTGATTTTAAGCTTCAGTCCATATTGAAGACTGCAATCCTTGATCTTCTGCAGCAAGTGCTTAAGGTCTTCCTCAGTTTTAACAAGCAAGGTTGTGCTGTCTGCATAACACATAACACAGGTTGTTGATGAATCTTCCTTCAGTCTTGATGCCACATTTCTCCTCACAGAGCCCAGCTTCCCAAATGATCTGTTCTGCATATAGATAGAAAAGGTGTGGGGACAGGATGTATCCCTGGCATACTCCTTTCCTGATTTTGAACCATGAAGTGTTTCCTTTCTCTGTTCTGAGGGTCTCCTTCCTGGTCCAAGTATAGATTTCTCATAAACATGATTAAGTGTTTTGGGATTCCCATTTTCTTCAAGGTTAGCCACAATATATTGTGATCCACACAGTCGAATGCCTTTGCATAGTCAATGAAACACAGACATTCCTCTGGTACTCTGCTTTCTGCCAAGATCCATGTGACATTGGCAATAATGAACTTGAACATGAGTAATTGATGGTCTGATTCACAGTCTGCCCCTGGCCTGGTTTTGACCACCTACATTAAGCTTCTCTAATGATTTCTTCCACAAATTTAGCAAATCTGATTCCTATGCAGCCCATCAGATGAAGTCCATGTGTAAAGTCATCACTTGTGTCTTTTAAAAAAGGCATCTGTAATGAATAAATCACTGAAAATAAAAAATTGGATTATCCTATTTCCAGCCTCATTTTTATCACCAAGCACATATTTTCCAACCACTATTCCTCTTCACTGTTTCCAACTTTTGCTTTCTAGTCACCAATTATCATTGAAACCATTACTGATTTTTGATTGAAACTGTTAACTTCATCTTACTTGGATCCATAATGAACACCCTTGATACCAGCACTCAGGAAATCAGGAGGTGTATTGCATTTGTTGGGAAAGTCTGCAGTAAGGGACTGTCCATATTATTGAGGAGTAATGATATCAGTTTGAGAACTAAGGTGTATCCCATTCAGGTTATGGCTTTTCTGATCATTTGCTGTGCATCTGAAAGCTGGACAATGATGAATAAGGATGACAGAAGAAGAATCGAGCTGTAGTGTTGGAGAAGAGCACTGAACATTCCATGGACAGCCAAAAGAACAAATATATTTTGGAGAAGGTGCAGCTGGAGTGCTCTTTATACGCAAGGATGATGAGGCTTTGCCTCACATACTTTGGGCATATTGCCAGGAGGGGCTGTTCCTTGGAGAGGGACATGATGTCGGAAAGGTCGAGGGTTGGTAAAGGAGAGGAACTCCTTGGACCAGGTGGATTGACATGGTGACTGCCTCATTGGGTTCTTAGGTGTTAGGAAGTGTGAGGATGACACAAGATAGGACAGAATTTATATCTTTTGTTCATACAGCTGCTGTGGATTGTACTTTACTTGACAACACCTAACAACAACAACAACAACAACAAAGTAAAGAGACAACAACAACAACAACAAAGTAAAGAGACAAAGTAAATTAAAAATACTTAGCCTTCTGTTTTGGCCTAATGTCATCTGCCTGCCTGCTAATTCCATCTAGGGAATTATCCCTGTTGTTGTTGTTAAGTGCTGTCGAGTCATAGTGGTCTCTTAAAGTCTGTCTTTTTGCCCCTGATTCATACTTGGTGCATGTATTGAGGAACATAAATGCATTTTTAATATTAACCCCAGAAAATAATTGAGATAACAGTGATAGAAAAATCACAGTTCTAAAAGCCAAATGGCTTCTGGATTAACTGTTTGGCTGACTCATGCCTATTTTCTCCTCTGTTAGGTCGAATAATTGAGTTGGTTATTTCTGAATTAAGTCTGAATTCTTGATAAGTTACATTGACAGTTGCTAATACTTAATTTTAAAATTAACATTTGAACCATCCTGTTGGCTGAATTATGTTTGCATTATCATGAGCACTAAGGATTATGACTTCTAAGAATCTAGCATAAAACTGACAAATTTTAAACTGTGGTAGAGAAATGCTTTGAAAAGGCCGTTTAAGGTGTTAATCAGTTGACAAGACTTCCGCTCTCACTAATCTGTATTTTTTTGAGTTTCAGATGACTGAGAAGACTGGTAAAGCAAAAAGCACTGTTCCTACCTTGGATGACACATATCCAGAAATAGAAAAATTCTTTCCCTTCAATCCTCTAGGTAATATCTATCTCTTGGTATTGCAAAAATGATTTTGACCTTCACTTTATCTTAGAATTCAACTCAGCTATAATATATGGATATATGACCTAGAAGAGTAACAGTAGACTATCTGAGCCTGGTTTACTTTGAACAGATATAATATATAATATATAAATATATAATTCTTGATGGAATTATTTGGAAGATATCGTCTTAAGCGTAGAGAAGGGCTTAAGAGTCAAAATGAAGAATCTTACTCCTTTCCAGGTAATTTTATCACCTAAAGGAGAGACTACTATACTGATCAAGCATAAATGTTGAATTTTTCTAGCCTTTTAGAAGATGAGCTTTATGCCAGTTTGAGCAGTGCCTAGAGTTCTTTGGAGAAAGTTAAGTGATAACTGTTTGGTAAGAAAAACCTAAGTACCTAGCAAAAATGTGTTTTTATTTCTTAAACCTCTTAATGTGTACCTGAAGTATTTCCTGTTAAAAAATCAGCTTTTCAAGCTTTAATTTGGTCAAATGTTTGAGAAGAGGCTGCTTACTGTGTGCTGTACACTGTTCGGCTATGGGGACAGTAGTTTCCAACTTAGCTTGTGGCTTGAAGAAGCCCACAATTTGTTAAGAAAGGTGAACACTGAATACATTCTCTCACTCTTGCATTTGAGGAGGAAGGACAGGGCTTGTGAGGCAATACTGAGCCTAGCCTAGGAAGATCATGTAAAGTCGTGAGGTTGGGGCTTAAAGGAGTTGAGGTAGCTGAGTGAAAAGGAACAAGGCGACATCATTGTAGGTAAGTGGGTACAGAGGTCCTGCGGTGGATAAAAGAAATGCAATTGTTCTGGAACATTGAAAGTTCCCCATGGTGAAGGACATTGAAAAAGTCATGGAGAGGGCACTGAGAGCCCACGGACCAGAGGCAGCCTTCGTGCCCCCTGTCCAGGCCTCGGCGTCTCCTGGCCTCCTCCCTTCTCCCCCAAGACCTCTTCCCCTTCAATTCCGAGGTCGGTGGCGTCGCAGCCTCGCTGCTCGGCTACCTGTGAGGATGGTGGGAGTGAAGCCGGTCGGGAGTGACCCGGATTTCCAGCCGGAGCTGAGCGGTGTGGGCTTCAGACTCGCCGTGGTCAAGTTCACCGTGAGAGGGTGTGGACCATGTTTAAGAATTGCTCCAGCATTTAGTTCTATGAGTCATAAATACCCACAGGCAGTTTTCTTGGAAGTTGATGTACATCAGTGCCAGCGCCAACAATATATCAGCAACACCTACATTTCTCTCTTTTCGGAACAGAGTGGGAATTGATCAGTATCAAGGAGCGGATGCTGTGGGATTAGAAGAAAAAAATCAAGCAGCACTTAGAAAATGACCCTGGAAGCAATGAGGACACAGATATTCCAAAGGCAACATGGATTTAATGCCTTTTATTAATAAAGCTGGCTGCGAGTGTCTTAATGAAAGTGATGAACCTGGATTTGATAACTGTTTACTGAAAGACTTGTCCTTCTTGGAATCTGACTGTGATGAGCAGCTACTTATTACTGTGGCATTTAATCAACCTGTTAAGCTTTATTCCATGAAATTTCAACGACCAGATAATGGTCAGGGTCCAAAATACGTAAAAATTTTTATCAACCTATCCCGATCTATGGATTTTGAGGATGTGGAAAGCGAAGCAACTCAAGCTCTGGAACTAACATAAGATGGTATTTAAGAAGATGGTATTGTCCCACTTCATTATGTTAAGTTTCAGAATGTTAACAGTGAAACTATATTTGTTCAGTCCAGTCAAGGTGAAGAAGAAACAAGAATTTCCTATTTTACGTTTATTGGTACACCGGTCCAGGCAATAAATATGAATGCCTTCAAACGAGTAGTCGGCAAAAAAAGAGAAAGTCACTAAGGTGCATAAGGACACTCACTGTACAAGCGGCTGCATTGAGATCTCCAGCTCCTGGCTGGTCACTCGATTTGTGCCAGAGACTCAATGTTTCCTTTACTGCCATTACCAAGAAATCATTGCTTTTGTTTAGATGGTTTCACCAGTGTTTCTATTGTAATCTTGATACATGCAATTGTAAATAAAAATCATTACCTTTGCAAAGGAAAAAAAGAGATCATGGAGAGCAGAGCAGGGTCTACCAGAGAGCTGACTGATTTGTGTATTCAAAGAAATTTTCCATGTGATAGTCTCAAAATTTTATTTTTTGTAAGTTGGAGCCATGTATCTGAAGAGTAAGCCTTAAGAATTACTGAATCAGAGCATATGATAAAATGCTTGGCTATGCTAGTGATTTCCTTTCAAAGTATATCTGTGTATGTTGATCAGGAAGGACCACAATATGCTGTGTTTTAAAGCAAAGGATACTACCAGGTTACCTTCCAAAACACTATAAAAGAACCTGCTCACAGCAGATAAGGATGCTCGTTTTACCCATAATCACGAATTGCAAATGTCTTAAAATGCTACTCTTTATCTGAAGAACAAAGATACTCATTGCTTTAGTGGGGGTATATGTTAGAGCATATATGATTATTGGCTTTGTACTTCCCCCCCGAACTTTTTATTTGCGCCTTTCTTGATTATGTTACTTTCTTTGCTTTCTCTACTTTTAAAAAAGCTCTTTGTGAGGAAAGGGAATTACTGTATTTTTCACATACAGTATGACCACATAAATAGTGTGTATATGCATATGATGCGTGTGGCACATATAAAAAATGAAAGCATGATGAGGCTGCATTGTTTGAAAAATCATAGTCCATATTGTTCGTGTGAAAATACAGTAGCCTTATTATGCTGCAGACTTTTTCTTGTGACATCTTGTCCATTTTACGGTTTCTTTGACAGTTCATTGGTTTAAATGAAAAGGCCCTGAATTATTTTTATTATATTATACCAACTTTGGAAAAAGAGTAGACTAGTTTCTAAGTGTAGGTACTTGGGTGAATGAAATCTCTTCCTAAGTTTTTAATTTGTATGGGAGTTGGAACACAGGTGCATACCAATCTTACTTAGCCTTACTTTAGTCCCCCCCCCCCCCAAAAAGAGGCTGTAAGTTCCTTTCAGTGATTTAAAAGCGCACAGTCTTTAGCGCTCTGGGGGCCTAATGGCAAGAAGCTGTGCTGCCATCTCAAAGGCACACGGTTCCATTCCTATCAGCTGCTCTGTGGGAGAATGATGGGCAGTCTCTTCCTTTTGTGATTAACTGCCTGTGAAAACCTCTTGGAGGGTCGGCTATAGGTCGGTTCCACAAAAAAACGCCAGTCATTTCAGAGTGAGGGAAAATACACATAGCATTAAAGGGCAGTGCTATATAATAACTTACCCTTTAGTATTATGTAACATTCAGACATTCATAACCTGAGGACTGTCTTACTGTACTGAAGGCTTTAAAGAACTCCTAAGAATAAGAAAACATGTAGCTTTCTTGAAAATGGACATTTTTAACATTTAAGTTATCCTTTTGTTACTATCAAGAAAAAGTACATGTTTTAAACAATTCTTTAGAAGTAAGACACTTAGCTTCTCGGCTTTTTGACTATGCTCAAGTGTGCAAGTAAGACACTTGGATTTTAAAAAGGAATGTTACTGAACACATTAAAAAAACAAACTCTATTTTGTCACGTTGGAACTGACCCGTGGCTGACTTCTCCAGTGGGTGTTCAGAGATTCTAAATCACACAGGAGATTGCCTCTTTTTCCCTCCAAAAAGCTGGTGAAGAAGCCACCCACCTTACAACTCCCTACTGACTAGGCCTTTAGGGCTCTCCATTACTGAACAGTAACTCTTAAATGTTTTTATGTTTTTGGGCTCCTTCAGCTAATTGAAGACCCTGCAGGACATGTGTGTTCAACCTATATTGTACCATAAATTTTAGAAAAAGTTGTTAATAAATTTAGTTACATTGACAGAAATAACTTTTGAAATGGAAAATTACTTTTCTAAATGAAAAAAAAAGATTAGAAGAATGGCATAGTTTTTGAAAATTTGCCAAAAAGAAAGAAAGAAAATTTGCCTAAATACAGGATTTTCTCATTTGGTTCTTCAAACATATTTTGGTTTAAGTGTCTGAAGAAAATATGGCTTCATGTAGATTTATAGTTGGAAACAGGAGGAACATTACGTTGGCTATTTCAGATAGAGTGGCTGTTTTCCTTTGATACTGCCAATGAATATTTGAACTCTAGCAATGCAATCTAACTCTAACAATAAAACGACCTTTTATTTTGAATGGATGGATCTGTTATCGCTGTATTTATCAATAAATTCACTGATATCTTAGAAATACCAACTCACTGAGCTATGTAGGCCATCCAAATGTTGAAGGGTTCTTTTGTACAGAAACATAATTATCACCACTGATTTTTGTCAGAATAGTCTTAAGTACTAGACACTCGACTCATGGTAATAGGTGTTGTTAGGTGCCCTCAAGTCGCCTGCAGCTCATAGTGACCCTATGTACAATAGCTCTGAACTGTGCTCTATCCTGAGCCAACCTTATTGTCTCTGACACACCTGCCCCCATTACCCCAGTCACTGAGTCAATCCATTTCACTGAGGGTCTTCCTCTCTGCGCTGTCACAACACTCTCCCAAGCATGATGTTGTCCTCCAAGGACTGGTCCCTCCTTGCAATATGCCCAAAGTATGTCAGATGGAGCTTCAGAATCCTTGCCTCCAAGGAGTGGCCTGTTTTCACTCTCTATTAATAAGTTTCTTAAAATTTCTGTAGTTGAACATTTTGATTGTTTTTGGCAGCGTCTCATTTTCCTTGGAGTGATTTCTTTCCTTCCTTTGAGAAAATATGACAGTGATACCTAAATCTGAGTAACTGATCACTTTTCAGTAAAAAATTTTGTCCTAGGAAATGGCCGTTCACCTTGTGATTCAATTGTGTAAGTCCTTCATCTTTGAGATGAGCGTCTTATTTTAATATGACAAGTGTTTTATGTATATTTTTCATCTTATCACTTAGAATATTAAGACATGTTCTCCATAGTAAAAAAAAAAGACTATTTTAATTATAGTAAAGTGATTTAAGTTTTTTTAAAATAGAGTGTGTTGGTGGTAAAGAATGCAATGACTGTGGAAATAGTTTATTGCCACTGCCTTGATTTGTATTAATGCACTAGTTTTATCGACCGTAGCTTTTTTACCATCATTTTAAGTGTTAACACAGTGCAAGCAGTGATTCATATTGTTATGAAAATAGTTTTTAATCTCTGATTTAGGGAAGGATCTCAGACTTGCGCATCCCCCAGGGGGCCCACTCGACTCATGGTAATGAGAACCACTGCTTTTAACAAAAGGCTTTCTCCTTGGAACAGATTTTGAGAGTTTTGACCTGCCTGAAGAGCACCAGATTGCACACCTCCCCTTGACAGGAGTGCCTCTCATGGTTCTCGAGGAGGAGCGGGAACTTGAAAAGCTCTTAGACTTGGGTCCCCCATCACCTGTAAAGATGACGCCTCTGTCATGGGAGTCGAGTAAGTGAATGAGTATCTTTCCTTCTTGTGGGGCCGCAAACTGTTTCGTAGCACTTGTATTACTGTGGGGACAGAGCTGTGTGGAAGTGTAGCATATGAGTAATTTCTGCAATTTTAACGATAGGAATTAAGATTTCAGAATAATGAAATGATTGTCAAGTGCAGTTACTTTTTTATTCCCAAATACTAGCATCAAATTAAGTCATTTTGAAATCCTATTTTATGCAGTTCAACAAAATGGGATAATTTGAATATGAAACTTATAGGCTATATGTTAAATGATTACAAACTTGATGGGTGTGAGAGTCAAAAGTTCTATCCAAGGAGAGCATAGGATCATGATGCTTGTGCATAGACTCCCAATACCTTGTTATACAAAGTTTGATGTTTTTATTTAAACTGCTAGTAAGAAACCATCATCAGTAATTTTTGTTTGCTTTTGCCTGGCTTTGATGGAAGAACTCATACCAATTTATACAGCCCATTACTGAGAATGTTGGCACACATTGGTGTTACAGGACCTCAGAATGGTAGTAGTTCAGGTGTTTTCTCAGTCTTATTTCCTAGAGAAGGCTAATCCTGGGGCCACAACCATATTCCAAGAAATAGATGAGTTAATGAATAGGGGACCTGTTCATTCATAGAAAGCTATGAATCTATCATTAAAGTAACACCTAACTAAAAAACTAAAAACCCCAAACCAACTAATCAGTGTTGACATGATTATGTAATCTCAAGGATTTACAGAAATCTAATAAGAAATTCCTGTTTTTCTAGATCTGTTGAAGTCTCCTTCCAGCATTCTTTCTACCCTGGATGTTGAGTTGCCACCTGTTTGCTGTGACTTTGATATTTAAAGCATCTTGGAGCTTTATTTATTGGCTTTTGTGGGTTTTTTGTGATTAATAAAGCAGTTCTTTATTAACTCTTCCTATGTTGTGATTGATACTTTTTTGAGTTTATTTAAAATATGTGACAACTGGATGAGGTATTTATTAGGCAGATGTCTGTTACCTGACACCAGAGGGTTTCTGTGATTTACACAAACTTAACCTCAGTGAGGGTAGGTGTGTTGGAATCAGTAAGACTGGCAGGATAGGGCAGGATTCAGAACTATTTCTATGTAAACATAGGGTTACTATGAGTCACAGGTGACTTGATGGCGCATAACAACAGCCCTTGGAGAAAGGACATAATGCTTGGAAGGGTGGAGGGGACAACGTAAGAGAGACCCTCGATGAGATGGATTGACACGGTAACTGGGACAATGTGATTAGGTGTGTTGGAGTCAGTGAGACTGGCTCAGGATAGGGCAAGCTTCAGAGCTATTGGACATAGGGTCACTTGAGTCACGGGCGACTTGATGACACATAACAACATCAGCCTTATACCTGTTGGTTTGTTTTAACAGTTTTTTTTTTCAGATGCTACCATGTTTTCTCAAACAAATACCCCTCAATGTGTACTTTATCACCTCTTTGTGGTCGTTAACCAGTGACAATTAATAGAATCCTTAATTAGAAGAACCACTTCTAGCTCATTAAGAATGTATTGCTAGGCATTCTTTATTGCTGGTTCTATTGCATTTCTAATGACTATTACTCAGTATTCAGTAATCAGAATTTAAAAGGCTCTAAATCTCCTGATAACTCAGCCTCTTTGGGATAACTAATTAGATTACTTGAAAATCAAACAGAATAGCCTACTGATAGTGAAATTTATTCTCTACCTGTAAGAAACTATTGTACCCTGTGTTGGTCATTAAGGAAGCCTGGTGACTCAGTGTAAACTCTGATTAGCTTAGTGAAAGGTTCAGATCCACCACCTGCTCTGGCAGAAAAGATGTGGCAGTTTGTATTCTTAAAGATGAACATTTTGATCAAAGATTCCTTAGAGAAATCCTGATCTAAAGAGGAGGGAAAATGCAGAACAGAATTTCAAATTTCCTAGACTCTCAACTTTCTGGAACCATGCGTACCAGGTAGATAAACCTCTGAAAGTTTCTCTAAAATAATCTTTAAACATTAAATATATCCCCTGAAGTCTTGAACAATAGTTCAGCTTCACTAATACAAAAGGGCTATCTTGATCATATGTTCTTTTAAGAACTATTTCTATGGCTGACAGTAACAACTTGGAAAGATTACATAGTTACCTTGTTATATACTGTCGAGTCAGAGCTGACTCATAGCTGACCTTCCAGCGGGTTATCTTAGGCAGTTAATCGAATTGGAGGAGATTGCCCATCGTTTTCCCGTGGAGCAGCTGGTGGATTTGAACCTTGTGCCTTCGGGATTACAGCACAGTTTCTTACTACTAGGTGACCAGAGCTCCCCATAGTTACCTTAGGGGTCAGTGAAGATGTTAAGGAGAGAGGAAGAACTTGGAAAAGGATAGTAAGAAAGGTGCCCAACTTGACATAATGTCACCTAATTGTAAGTGTAGAAACTATTGTGTATTTTGCTTTGTACATCTATAACAAAATAACTTGGAAGAAAAATTATAACCTTGGAAACCCTCTGGGAGAGTTTTACTCTGCATTGTCGGATTGCTAGAAGTTGAATTAACTCCATGACAACGTGCTTTGTTCTTTTAGTTTAGACATCATTTCAAGTATTTAGTGAGCATTATTATGTTTAGAGCACTTTTTTAGTAAAGAGAGCATGCTCAAAAGTTCATTGATTTGCCAAAACTTTAAGAGAAAATGATAGAGATAGTACTTTCCAGATCTGAGACTGGAATCAAAATATCAGAGATGGTAAATGGTTGCCCATGGATTGTCCTTTTTGGACAGAACTTAGAAAAAGAAATTAACTCGTGCTTAAAATTCTGAAATTTTGAGTGTCTTTAGTTTTGCATCTCTTGGAAAAGCGCATCAGGCTGTTTGTTGTAGGTCTCATCTTTCTCCTCCAGTGGCTGTGGATTCTGACAACCAGCATGTAACAAAATAAGCCACTGTGGCTCTTTTTGAAAAAATGTATTTTAAGTCTGAATGGATTTCCTACGCTACAGATTCAAAGTAGGAACTTTGGAGCATGACCTCTTCTAGTTGTGGAGGAACGAAAGTTCATAGTTAGGTCCTTGAAACTACTCTTGTTTCCTTGTTAGAAGTAAATGTTCTAGACTCCTTTAGGCAGCTGCTATTAATAAGTTGCAGAATTTGGCCTTTGCATATAAATCTAGTCCAGACACTGGCTCACCGGATGATGAGTGCCTTTTATCTCACAGGCCCTTTGATGGCTTTTAAGTGGGCACTGAAGTTCCTTTTATACTCTTTTTCTCAGACCTACTTGCTTAATCCACTCACTTTATTTGCTTTTCCCCTGAAGTATCTGTGACATCTAGTCTAGTAGGAATGCAAACACTTTCTTTACTACTGCTTCCCCCCCCCCCCTTTTTTCATGCTGCATGAGATAGATCGATTCAGTGACTGGGAAAATGGGAGTAGGTAAGTTGGAGACAGTGAAGTTGGCACAGAAGAGAGCAGGGTTTAGGGCTCTTGTATATAGGGTCTCTTTGATTCTCAAGTGACTTGACAGCACATAACAACAACTAGTTTATTTACAAAATTCGAATACATTGTTTTCCCGAACAGATTCTTCCAATTTCCCTCACTCCCTGACCCATTAAATTGTACAACTCCACTATTAATCCCCCTCCCGCACATCATCCCTCTGCTTCCACCCCCCACCCTTTGCATCCTTATACTCATTCTACAATAATGGTTTTATACAATATTTGTCCTTGTGGGACTGAGTTCACTCAGCATGATGCTAAAACTGAACAATATTGAATGCTGTTGAGCTGAGTACAATACATAGTGACCCTATTCAGAACTCTCTTCTGTACCATTCTTATCTTTCTCATCAACCTTGACAAATTTGAGTCTGTTGCCACAGACACTGTATCATTTCATCTTGTTGAGGGTCTTCCTTTCTTTCACTGACTCTCTACCTTTCAAAGCATGATGTCCCTTTCCAAGGAAGAGCTTCTCCTAACATGTCAAAAATATGTGGATGAAGCATCATCATCTTTGCCTCCAAAAAACATCCCAGCTACAGTTTCTCCTAGACATATTTGTCCTTTTGGCAGTCCATGGGATGTTCAGCAATCATCTCCAACACCACAACTCAAATACATCAATTCTTCGGTCATTCGAAGTTTGACCTTGAGTCTGTTCCCTCCTGAGTTTAAAGACCAACTCAAGAACAGGTTTGAGGCCTTGAATATTAATGAGCGAAGACTAGATAAGATTGATACTCTTCAAGAATATCCATGAAGAATGCAGAAGGTCATTACAAAGACAGAGGATGAAGAAAAGACCAAAATGAATATCAGAAGAGACTCTGAATATTGTACTAGATAGAGCAATGAGAAGCCAAAGCAAAGGGACAAAATCAAGATGTGAAGAAGCTGAACAGATGATTTCAAAGGGCAGCACGAGAAGATAATAGAATGTGCAAAGAGCTGGAGTTGGAAATCAAAAGGGATGAACTCTCAGCATTTCTTAAGCTGAAGGAACTAAAGAACCAATTCAAGCCTCGAGTTGTAATACTTAAGGATGTTGTGGGCGCAATGTTGAATGACCCAGGAAGCATAAAAAGAAGATGGAAAGAATACACACAAAGTCATTATGCCAAAAAGAATTGGCTGACACAGAAGAATTTCATGAAACAGTATATGATCAGGAGCCTGTAGTGATGAAGGAGGAACTTCAAGCTGCTCTGAAGGAATTGGCATGATACAAGGCCCCCAGAATTGATGGCATACAAACAGATGTTACCCTGGATGTGCTCACCAGCTTGAGCCAAGAAATCTGGAGGACAACCCCCTGGCCTACTGACTGGAAGAGTTCCATAATTCTCATTCCAAAAAATAGTCAACTGACAAGAGTATGGAAACTATCGATCAATATCATTAAAATTTCAGGCAAGCAAGATTTTGCTGAAAGTTATCCAAAACCATCTGAACCAGCACTTAAAGAGAGAACTACCAGAAGTGCAGGCTGAGTTTTAGAAGAGGTTATGGCACTTGGGATATTATAGCTAATGTTAGATGGATCTTGGCAGAAAACAGGGAGTACCAGAGGGATGTCTGTGTTTCATTGACTATGCAAAGGCATTTGAATGTGTAGATCACATCAAACTGTGGCTGACTCTGAGAAGAGTGAGAATCCCAAAACATTTGTTTGTGCTTATGTGAAACCTGTACTTAGACCAGAAAGCAGTAGTCAGAACAGAGCAAGAAAACACTGCATAGTATAAAATCAGGGAAGGTATACATCAGGGATATGTCCTATCTGCATACCTTTTCAATTTATATGTGGACAGGTCATTCAGGGAGTCTGGGCTCTATGAGGAGGAATGTGGCATCACCAACACCTGTGTTATGCAGATGACAGACACAGCCTTGCTGCTGAAACTGAGGAGGACCTGAAGCACTTGCTGCAGAAGGCCAAGGACTGAAGTCTTCAAAATGGATTGAAGCTCAACATCAAGGAAACAAAGATTCTCACCACTGGACAAATTGTAGCATCATGATAGATGGTGAAGAGATTGAGATTGTTAACATCTTCAGCTTCCTTGACTTCACAATCAACACTTCACCAGTATACTGAAGAGCAATGGGGTCAGTTTGGAGACCAAGATGTGCCTGATCCAGGCCATTGTCTTTGCAATTACTTACTGTGCACTACAGAGCTGGACAGTGACTAGGGATCATAGAAGAGGATTTGATGCCTTTGAGTTGTGCTGGAGAAGAATATTGAACATACCATAGACTGCTTAGAGAACAAACAGGTCTGTCCTGGAGAGCGTCAAATCAGGTTGCTCCTTGGAGGTAAGGATTTTGAAGCTCCA